CGGCTCATTTTGATTTATTGTAGAGATAAGGTCTCACCAAATTGCCCAGGCGGGTCTCAAACCCGCGGGCTCAGGCAACCCACTCACCTCAGCCTCCCAAGGCGTGGGATTACAGGCTGAGCCACTGAGCCCGGCTAGTATATTTTTATTAAGGAAAAAAAAACTGCTTTCCAAAACAAAAAAAAAAATGTATTAAGTACAGTGGTTGTTCTACACTTTTTTTTTTTTGAGTTGGAGTCTCACTCTGTCGCCCAGATTGGAGTGCAGTGGCCACTCCTAGCCACTGCAGCCTCGACCTGCTGGGCTCTGGCGATCCTCCGCCTCAGTCTTCCAAGTAGCTGGAACTACAGGTGTGTGCTACCACACCCGGCTATTTTTTTTTTTTTTTATTGTAGAGATGAAGTCTCGCCAAGTTGCCCAGGCGGGTCTCGAACCTGCGGGCTCAGGCAATCCACTCACCTCAGCCTCCCAAGGTGCGGGATTACAGGCTGAGCCTCCAAGCTCGGCTTACACTTTTCTTTTGAGTCAGAGTCTGACTCCGTCACCCAGGAGGGAGTGCAGTGGCACACTTATGATCACCACAGTCTCAATCTGCTGGGGTCAGGTGATCCTTCTGCTTCAGCTTTCCAAGTAGCTGGAACCACAGGTGCACATCACCATGTCCAGATAAATTTCCTGATTTATTGTGGAGACGAGGTCTTGTCAAGTTGTCCAGGCTGGTCTTGAACCCATGAGCTCAGGTAGTCCTCTCACTTCAGCCTCCCAAAGTGCAGGGATTACAGGCATGAGATACTGTGCCTGGCTCATTTTGGTTTTGTTTTGTTTTGTTTTGTTTTTGAGTTGGAGTCTCAGTCTGTCGTCCAGGCTGGAGTGCAGTGGCACAGTCAAGACTACCGCAGCCTCGACCTGCTGGCTCAAGCGATCCTTCCGCCTAAGTCTTCCAAATAGTTGCAACTACAGGTGCAGCTACCACGCCCAGCTTATTTTTTGACTTATTGTAGAGATGAGGTCTCACCAAGTTACTCAGGCTAGTATTGAACCCTTGAACTCAGGCAATTCTCTCGCCTTGGCCTCCCAAAGTGCTGGGATTACAGGTTTAAGCCACCGTGCCTGGCCCACTTTTTTTTTTTTAAAAGACAGGATCTTGTTCTGTTACCCAGGCTGGGGTAGAGTGGTGTGATAAAAGCTCACAGCAGCCTAAAACTCCTGGGCTCAAATGATCCTCCCACCTCAGCCTCTGAGACTACAGGCGTGAGCCACCATACCCGGCAATCTTTAAATTTTTTTTGTTGAGATGGGGTCTCACTATGCTGCCCAGGCTCACTTTCACAAATCTCTTTAACATCGGGCTTAACAGAAGACAATAATCCTTATATCTGCTTCTGCATGTAATCTATTGCAATATCACACACCATGAAGCCTCTGGAAAACACTCTACACTTGGGAGAGAGTAAGGATGAAAGGGAAACAATTTATTAGCAGTATTTTGAAAACAGCTTTGACCAGAAAGTGTTTGCGGGACGCTATTTGTATTTTTTTTTTTTTTTTAAGTATAGGAAGGGGCAGAGAA